TGTTTTCCCAGCAGGCCAAGGCCAGGCCTGGACCAGGAACCTGGAAATGCCTCCTGGCAGACTTCCTGCCTGTTCCTCAACGCTGCCAGTTACGGCCACCAGGGGGCGGCCTGGCTATGTGCAAAGCGGGTGTCGCCCTTGGCTGATACCTTCAGGGCCCACCTCATCCTGAAGACAGGGACAGGCTTGGTCCAGCTTCCAACCTGTCACGGTTCGTTGCATTTGAGCCAAGAAAGAGCAGTAGATTTGGATTCTAAACTCAAGTCTACCATTCATTGGCTGTGATCTTGGGAAAGACCCTCAGTTGCCTCAGCTGTTAAATAGAGCTCAGCCATGGTGTCCCATCAGGGTTTGTCTCCACTTATTTGAATCAATAAAAGTACTCGTGGTTACCACAAAGTATTGTCTCTTTTTTCTCCTAATTCCTTCTTCCTGGCTGCTGGAGGAAGGTCTTACCCCATTGCCCATGCTGCCCTCTGTTGGCTGGCAGCAGAACTACAGCTTTCCAGAGGGGATCAGGGGAGGAACCAGCAGGAGACCCCTAGGGTTAAGGGTAGGGCTGTCAGCTAATCCACTTACTCAGACAACATTTATCAAGCCCCTAAACATGTGCTAGCATAGTGATAGGCCCTGGAACATAGCAGGCCTGTTCCTCAGAGGGATCCCAGTTTTCAGAACTGAGAATCTGGGGGTTTTCTTTGACCTGACGCATGCTATTTCAAACCGACAGTGTGGTGTAGTGGTTAAGATGGTGGATTATGGTGCTGCATGCCTGGGTTCAAATCTCATCCTCATTGATTACTAGATATGTAGCATAAATCATTTGACTTTCATGTTTTGTTTTGCCACCTGTAGAATTAGGATAATGATCCAGCTTACATTATAAAGGTTCCTTTAAAGACTGAGTTAGTTTAACAGTATCTAGTCACTGCGGGATCGGTGTCAGCTAAATAACCACCAATGAATGCTTGTGAAAAGATAGGAGGAGCAACATGTAAATTCCTCCAATTTTAAGTGAGTCCTTCATGTGCCGCCCACCTTTGAGGAGTCTCACGTGACGGGGAGATCAGTAGAGTGCGTTTTGCAACTGGCATTTTCATTTCTGAATGCGTCTGCCCCTCAGGGCCTTCAGGCTGGATTTCACCCCCACCCTGGCCTGACCACGCAGGGTCCAGAAGAGACCCGACCCAAGAAGAGCAAGCTGTCACAGTGAGGACAAGATGGCCAGCCTGGTCACTAAGGCAGATTCTCTGCTGATGATGCTGGCAGTGGTGGTGACGGTGATGGCGGTGATGGTCATGCTTATGGTGATGGTGACAGTTTTGGTGGTGCTGCTGGTGTTGCTAGGACTGGGGGAGCTCTGGGGCTTGGTCCAGGGGACCTGACCTAATCTTCTTTCCTCCTGACTGAGCCTGGTGTTCTCTAACCTCAGCCATCAGCCGAGTTGTAGGACAAAGAAACAGGACAGTGCCTCCCTCTGTGGTTTGCAGAGACCATTTCTGAGCCAGAAAAGGAGGTCTTAACTGGAATGTCAAATCCTCTTCCTATCCTGCTCATAAGGTTGCAAATACTTCTATTTTCTGTGCCTTAGTTTCCTTATCTAAAAAATCAGAAAGAGAAGAAAGTATATTGGTCCTGATTCTTTGGCAACTTGATAAAAACTGGATTCCCCACACCCTGGGAAAGACAGACATGCATGCTTGTGCACACACATGCACACACGAACTATAGCCATGTGACTTAGAGGCTTCTAGCTCTTCCTCCGATCTGCAGGCTCCAGTTCTGTCCTGATGGGCCACGTAACTCTTCTGCCTGCTTTGCCATCCAGGCCTGTACGAGACCCTGCTCCTCCAACCCAAGCCGGGACAGGACAGCGGGGCTGGCGGTGTCTGTGAGAGCTATCCCGGAAGGGCTGTTCCGGTCCAGCCCAGCCTTACTCCTGACCCAGCCACACCATCAAGGTCCTGGGCTCTCGGGTCCCAGGAGGGCCCTCTTGATCTACAGGAAATGTGGGGCTGAGTGGACAGAAATTACTTGCAAAGGGGTAGGTGTCAGTGGCCATAGCATCGCTGGCTAGCGGCTCACACCCACCCCCTCTGGAGGTGCAGCCTTCAGGGAGTCAGTGGAGAGGGAGAGATCTGTCACCTCCTCCCACAAGCAGAGGTAGGACTGAGAAGCTGTCCCCCATTCGGCTTGCATACTTCGAGCTTAGGGTAGGAGAACAGTGGAGGAGTCAAACCACGGGACCTGGGTTCCAGGCCAGCTCCATTAATATGTGCACGGCACATTACGGTTTGCAAAGCATTTCCACAGGCACTGATTTCGGTGGTCCCAAGAGAACCCCTGGTGACAGGCTTTTTTTCTGGTCACAGGAAAAGCCCCCTCAAAAGCTGATTGATTTAACCAAGGTCCCACAGTAGGAAGGAGCCAGGTGAGGCTTGAATGGAGTCCTGCCTCCCAATCTGTGACCTTCCTGAAATCTCGGGTGATCCTGAGCTGCCAGGCATGGGACCTGGGGTGAACTCTCCCCCTCTCCAACCTTTGTAAAAAGCCCTTGGGGACTTTCCAGCGCTGGGCTTTTAGGAAGCTCTGTTGCCCCTCTGAGGTGGCAGGTGGGGATTAGCACCACCGGGCAGAGGAGTCACAGGTCCAGACAGCCAAGCAACTTGACCAAGGCTGTGCCTAGAAGTGCAGAGCCTGGCCAGAAACCCAGGTTCCTGCAGACCCCTGGCTGGAATCAGGGCACTGGCTGGAGCTGGGTTTCTAAGAATAAAGCCCTGCTCTCAGAACAGACCCAGGGCAGGGACTTTCGGGCCTGCTGGGTCTCAGTGTGCGCTCAGGCTGGGCCTGGCTGCCAGGGATGGGAAGAGGCCGACCACTTCCTGTTCGGGCTGGCGCGGTCCCCGTGAGGTGGTCATCAGAAGCAACCACTTCCCGGTCTGGGCCACCTTCCCCTTTCTCAGCCTGGGAGGGGATGGCTTGTGGATGAGGCGGCACTTGTGTGCTGTGGCCTGGATGGCGTCTGTCCTCTTTTCATTTCCCCTGCTTACCGAGTCCCTCTCCACAGCCACCAACGGTCGGAAGCTGCTCGGAGTGGCCTGCCTGGTCCCCTGTCCGTGCTGTGCCCCTCCCCGCCAGAGACCTCATCTCCCAGGGGTTTGGGGAGCGCCCCCTTCCCAGCCCTGCTAGGAGTCTGTCCCCTGAGCCTGGATAGGGCTCCGAGGGGGCTCTGGGGCTCAGGTCACACACACCACCAGGAGAACTGGGATGTGAACTCGGCTGTGTCTGGCACCGGGATGCCTGTCTTGTATGCATTTAGGATTTCCAGTGTGTGTGAGCCAGAAGGAGCCCAGGAGTGCGGGTGACACGGCTGGACCTGAGCACAGCAAGCACAGGCATGGGTCTGCTTCTCCCTGTCCCCTCCCACACGGTCCTCTCTGTCTCAGAGCAGTGAGGGGCAAAAAGCACAGGAAACAGCTGACTGTGCCAGCCACCCGCACCGAGGCTCAGAAGCACCCACTGAGGACCAGGCCTGGGGACCCAGACCCTGAGATCTGACTGCTCTGTGCTCTCCCAGCTCCCTTTAATCCTAGTGGGGAAGCCAGAGCTTCCAGCCAAGGGGGCAGCAGAGAGCAGAGATAAAACCAGAACCAGACTGGTCAGGATTCAGATCCCAGCCCTGCCAGGCCAGGGTGGCTCAGGGGAAGCGCTTTCAGGCACCTCAGTTTCCTTGCCTGTAAAATGGGGACAAAATAATAGAGGTGCCGTCCAGGCCCCTATTCAGCCAACTCCTTTCTGTGAGGGGCAGACAGTGGGCTGTCCTAGAGCCACACAGCTGCTCGGGCTGCCCACTGCGGCCTCTGGTTGTAACTGCAGAGCCACTGAGACTCGGTGAGATCAGGAAAGAGTGTTGTCATGTCACTGAAAACTAAGACAAGACCTTGGAAAGGCACACAGAAAAGTGAACTGTCAAAACAAAAAGACTGCTGAATTAGGTGTGAATCAGACGGCTCTCAAGGGCTGGGGAAGACAGTGTAGTCATCCTGCGTTATCGCTGGTTTCACCACGGTTTCAGTTACCTGAGGTCAACCAGGGCCTGAAAATACGAAATGGAAAATTCCAGAAACAAACATTTCGTAAGTCTTAAATTGTGTGCTGCTCTAAGGAGAGTCCAGTGTCTGTCTTGGCCAGGACATGAGGCTCCCTTGCCAGGGTCCCAGGCTGTGTATGTGGGCTGCCCTCTGGCTTGGTAGCAGTATCGGTGATCAGACTGACCGTACTGTGCTGAGCAATGTTACTCTGCTTAACGAAGGCCCCTAAATGCAAGAGCAGCATTGCACAGACCAGAGCACGGAGCAAGGAGGGACAGGCCAGCTCTGGCACCATGTGGCAGTGGGGCTGTGTGCTGAAGTGTGGCATCCACAGGGTTCTGTACTATTGTGGTTTCAGGCATCTGCTGGCAGGATCCCATGGCAGTAGCTAAAATCCAGAAGTTTTTGCTGAATTAGACATAGGCTGAAAGTCAGGGGGATTATTAAAAATCCAGAGGGAGTTTGCATTCGGTTTGCTTCATCAGTCTCTCCTAGGTCTCACTCACCCTAAGAAACCAAAAAAAATCAAGAACCATGAACGCTACTGCCTAAATTTGTTTACTGCAAGAAAAACAAAGTAGACCTTCTACCAGAGGTCTTGGTCACAAAGGCAGCCTTGGTCCTGCACCAAAACACCATGTACAAAAAGTACGCGCGTTACGTTTCAAGAACGTTCAATAAACTGTGCTTACGTTTGATGAAATGCTTATTTTATGTATCATAAGATTTCCTGCTTTAAATATTTTTTTTTCCTATTAACAACCAGTGGTTTTGCTCTCATTGGACAAGAGGTTTCTTCTATTAATAGCACTTACCTCACAGGGCGGATGCAGAGAGGGAGATGGAGGCAGGGTATGCAAAGTGCTTGGCGGGATGCCTGGGCGCGGTTAACATCCAGCAAGTATCACTACTGTGATGGTCTTCGAATCTCGACCCCCAAGTAGCCAGTGAGCAAATGAGGCTCAGAGGAGAGACTGCCTAAGGTCGTGGGCTGCAGGTCGAGGCCTGGCTGTGCAGCTGTTCGCATGCTCAGGTCCCAAACTTTTATCACGTATTTTAAAGAAGGTGACATTCCCAGGTAAGAGGTCGGGAGCGCAGGAGTCTCCAGGCCCCTCTCCAAGGAGAGCCATGGATTCTCCTCAGATTCAAGGCCCACACAGCTGAGGTTATTGTCTCAGTGGTCTGTCCGTATTTAGCAGCCCCATGTGTTTTTATCTCAAAGCCTTTCATTCATGCCTTTAATTATTTGTCTCTGTGTCTGTCTCCTGCAGCAGCCTGGAGCCCCCTGGGGAGCAGACTTGACTCATGTGGGCCTCCCAGCCTGCCCAGCGCCTGGTGCGGGCGGGTGCCTTCTATGTATTCATTGGACAAACAAGCAACTGAGCAATGGGAAAGATGGGGTGTCCCATCTCCCCAAGTTCCCACCTGATCACAATGATGTCCCAGCTTCGTTTGGCTTTGGAGCCCTGCAAAGTTTCTCCAGGACTCTGAGATTTCCCTGGGGTCCTGGCTGGACGCTTGAAGCTCTGGCCTGCTCTTTTCTGTCCTTCTCATTGTCCAGTCCTCAGTCTCCCAGCCCCATAGTGTGGGGCAGGGAGAACCCAGGCCTGGGGTGAAGCTCCTGCCCTCCATCAGAAGGGTGTGGCTCGGGGCTTTGCCTCCCATCTGAGTCACCTCCAAGGTGTGGCAGGCTGACTCAGACCGGAGGTCCTCCAGCTTCCCAGGGGCCTGAGCCTGCCAGGGCAGGGCTGGTGGGGCGGGGGGAGGGGGTCGGCCCCACACCAGGAAGGTGTTAAAACCTCTCAGGGAGGCCTGTGGCTGTGGTCTATCTGTGGTCTCCCTGGTTTCTGCACGGGAACACTGAGCCTAGAAGCAGCAGCTGGATGTGGCAGGGGTGGCACACTGTCCCTGTCTGTTCACTTCCCCTCCTGAACTGCAGGTTCTGCAGGTTCCCCTACAGCAAGGGGCTGCCCGCCATCATGCCTCCTGGAGTGGCCCAGAGCTGGTGCTGCCACGGACTGCTGGACAGGGTCTCATTCAGTCTCCACAAAGACCCCGCAGAGCCCCACTCTGCAGGTGAGGCAGCGGCAGCTCCCAGGAAATACTCTGGGCAGACAGGGGAGCCGGATTCTCCAGTCCTGCTTGGCCCCTCGAGATCCTCACTCCTGACCACTTGTCCTCGAAGCTGAGGCTGCCAGTCCTGTCCCCCACTGAGAGGACTGACCAGTTCCACCATGGAAGACCAATCCTGCGCCAGACCCCATGATCTCCAAGACCGAAAACTAAAATACCAGGAAAGAGAAAAAAAAAAAAAAAAAATCCAATCCACACCTCCTCCACCAGTGTTAACCTGCCCTGTGTGGTCTCACTGACATGTTTCTGTGCGCACACACCTGCAGTAGTGTTTTGGTGGCAATAGGATTGTTTGCTAACAGATATTTCCTGAATGCCCACGGGGGCAGAATGATGCCAGGTGCCCCCTGCCCCTCACATCCAGGTCCTGCCACTTAGAAGAGCCCAGAGACATTATGGGCTGGGAGAACGGGTGCTGGGGGGATGGGCAGTGGCCCAGAGGTTCAGAACTCAGCTTTGGAGGGAACATATCTAGATTCCTGGCTGTGCGGCCACAGGGCACCACCAGACATCTCTGAGTTTTGCCTTCTCTGTCTGTACATTAGGAATCCTGGCACCTGGCAGAAGGGGGCTTGAGAATTTAAAGGTGGGATGCACAGTTTGTGCACGCTGGGTCATGTGTGCAGTGGGTCTCAGAGCCCTGTGCCGAGAGCGGTTCTTCCTGGAGCTCGCTGGGGGATGAGCTGGACACGGGTCACGGGAGACTCCTAACGACAGCCAGGATTTGAAATCCCACCTGTGCAGCCGGAACTCACTCCGGAAGACCCCGACCCTGACTCACCCTCCCTGCGGGTGGCTGATGTGGGTGTGATTCTCACCTGAAGAACCAAAGTCGGCTTCCCAGCTGCCCCAACCCTGAGGGATGAGGGTAGGTGAGGGGTCCGGACCGAGGGGCCCAAGCAGAAGTCAGAGGTGGGGTGGGCTCAGATGGTAGCATGCCAACCTTTGGGGGGCTGTTGACAGGTGTGTCTGGCAGGTGCCTTGCTGCCTGAGCGGATGTTGAGGCCAAACCAGCCAGATGAAGGGCGGGCAGGCCAAGGCGTGGGGGTGCTCCTTTTATTTCTCTGCCCCCCTTTCAAACCCCAGAGAGGGACAAACCCACCTCAGTGGTGATCGCCTCACTCTGCCGCCCCGCCCTGGACTCTCGCCGTGTGTGTGGGGTGCTATCTTTTCCCCAGGTGTCTCAATTTCTCCCCAGGAAAGGGACCACCTCTGGGTGTGTGTCAAACAAGAAGCCTGTCCTCAAGGCCCCAGTGCCCCTGCTTCGAGCTGGCAAGAGGCAACTGACCCAGGAGGAGGAGCCAGAGGACAGCTGGAGACCTGCGTTCCGAGGGCTGCGTGTGGCCCTGGGATGTGGCCTCTGTCCCAGCCCTGCATCGAGGGTCCAGCCACGGGGACTGGAGGACAGAGGGGCTGGGTGGGGACTGGCGTAGGGGCACTGGACAAGCCATGACGAAGCAGAGAAGCAATGAGTAAAGGCAACAATAACAAAACAGTACACACTGTGCTGCGCACAGGGAGCCTGTCTCAGATTACCTCATTTAACCGTCACAGGGGTCGCTTTTGTAGGCAACCACCGAAGACCACAAGATCTCAAGTCCAGCGGCCAGGGATCACTCAGAACTCTTTCCCTCCTCTCCCACAAGGCATCATCACGAGAGTCCCCATCCCAGAGGGTAGATGGGCCATGTCTGGGATCATCTGGAACATCTGTGGCAGAAAGGACGGGCTCAAATCATGTGATCACTAGTGATGCAGAGGTGGAGCTCAAGGAGGTACTTGCCCAAGGCTGCACCGCAGCTGAGTGATGGAGCTCGAATGTAACTTTAGATCTGAGTGGGCTAAAGCCCCACCGCTCCCCTAACACACCTGTGGCAGCCTCACAGGTGTCCCTCTGGTCCTTTGGAAGGGCTGTTTAAAACCGCAGTTGCCTGAAGGGTTTGGGTCCTCTAGAGGAACTGGCCGGAAGTCACACACGCAGCCTTGTCCTGGCCAGGCCGGGCGCCCTCAGCAAGCAGCCTCTCATGCCAGGTCCTCCCTTTCCCCTGCAGCAGGTGCAGCCCCTTCCCGGCCTCCCGTCTGGCCCACACCCCTCACAGGGCACAGGAAATGATGGCCAAGCTCCACTCCAAACCACAGGGGAAATTTTTTTGTCTGGGCTTGTCTAGAATCCAGCCGGGGCCCCTGGGCAGACATTCTGTCATTTGCAAAAGGCAGGGGTGGGAAGCGGGTGAGGAGGGGGCATGTGGTTCCTGCACTGTCTGGCCTTGGGATTCCCCTCAGCGGCCTGGAGCTTCGGTGGTACGGACAGACTCCCAGACCTGCCTACACGAACAGTCCTGGGGCTTCGGGCAAGCCAGACCCAATCACAGCCATGTGCTGGCTGGGGGATGGCAGGCTGGCACCACCCACGCTTGCTGTGTGACCCTGGACAGGTACCTTGTCCTCTCTGATCTCCACTCCCCACTGTGTCAGCATCATCTCAACTTCTACCTGGACTTGCAGGGAGGTTTCTGCCCCTGCAGAACTTAACTTTCTGATCCCAGCACCAAAAGAAAAATAAGCAAATAAATAGACAGATGCATTTTATGCTTTTTGTCTTTTCTTAGCAGCTCAGGGGCTTCTGGCTTCTCACATGTCCACCCTCTGGCATGGTAGGAGGGTACAGGGAGGTCTCTAAGGAGAAGCCTTTGTTCCACTGACTGCAAAATGCTGAGGGCGAGCTGCACACAGCTCTCCTCAGGACCAGAGCTTCTAGAAGCAGCCATGCATCCTGCCAAGGCCGCCCAGAGCACGGCGATCAGCTTTGGCCTGGCCAGGCCTCCTCTAGGACTCTCCTGAGTGGCAGAGGGCTGTGTCCTTGGTCTCCCTCGCTGCCAAAGCTGAACCCAAAAGCACAGGTGGACCGCAGCAGGAGGATGTGGCTGCCAGGCGTGTGTTGTCACAGACACACTGGAGCTGGACGGGGCCTGGACACATCTGTTTCTGTGGTGCTGGTCCCTGAGGTGGGATGGTTGGGTTCTGGGCCCTGTTCTGGTGTGGTCTCCTTTGAGGACTTTGGTCCAGACCCCACCCTCACTGGGTCTCAGCTTTCCCCTCTGTACAGTGGGAGACAGCCGGCTCTGGGGCCAGCCAGGACCTCAAGTGCTCTGAGAATCTGTGGCTTTGTGTTTTGAGGCCTGCAGCTGCAGCTTGCTGGAGATGACTCTTCCTGTGGCTGAGCATTTAGACAAGAAGATGGGCTGGGAGCGGAGGACTCGGCTGCTCAATTTTCTGTCTGTCCCCACCCAGCCTGAACCCCCAGGCCCAGCCCCCATCAAGGGAAGCTCCTGCACCCTCCGTGGTGTAGCTATGTGATCTTTGTCAAGTCATTCTACATCTCTGGCCTCTGTGGGGTGATGGAGTTGCAAAGGCTGGAGCAGGAGCAGCTGTTCTGGTCACACTACTCTCTTTCTGACTGCTATTGTCCTTGTTTGTAGGACCACTGGCGTGGCAAGCCCCAGTGGCGATAGAAGTCCGGTGTCTCCCGAGAGGGAGGGGGCTTCCTAGGCCGCAATCCCCATTTCTCACGAGCTAGTACTGTCTGGAGCCGCCACCCACTACCGAGTGGAAGGCAGACTCACCCAGTGACAGGACACAGCCAAAGCTTTTGCCGACATCCCAATCTTCTGATCTGCAGCCGTCAGCCTTCTCTAAAAGCCTGTGTCCTGTCTGTGGACTGGCTGATGCTGGGGAAGAAGTCACGACAAGGACTAGGGGGCTGAGGGTCAGCACCAGGGCCCGGGCATCCCTAGGGCCCCCACTCCTCCAGGGCCTGTTCAGCGGCCCAGGCTTCTCTCCTCCATCCCCTGGCTTCCTGCCCTGCTTCCCTGAAGTTGAGCTCTGGCTCTCTTCTCACTGCCCCTCACGTAGTCTCTGAAGCAGCTGGGACAGCCCTTCCACGAGAGAGTGATGGCGGGTGGTGGGCACCACAGCCTCTCGAGGCATAGAGCATTTGCCGTCAAAAGAGGACGTTGGGCAGCGAAGCCAGCCGTGAGCCTCCAGCTGGCACAGCCATTGTCCTCTGCCTGGTTCCTGCCTGGCACAGCCTCTTCCATAGCCATCTGTGCTTTCCTCCTGTGCCCTATGCCAACGTGGCTGCAGCCCCTGGCCACGGCCCTGGCCTGTGGGGGTGGTGGCTGCTGTTGTGGTCTCTCACATGGGCAGAGAGGGTGGCCCCTTTGCTGGAACAACCACCACCCTTCTCCTTCAAGCTGAGTCCTACCCGGGGCCTCTGCTGCCTGGTCAGGATGAGGAATGAGGGGGAGAGGCCGTGAGGAGGACCAGACTGATGGGGGACCCAGGCAGAAGAGCGTGGTTTGTCTGGCATGGCAGTAAATGCACAGAGAGGAGCTGGTGCCACCAGGACCCCTCACCCGGCCTGTCGTGGACAGTGACAGGAGGAAGTGACCAGACAGAGGTCTGTGGTTTGGGGAGGACACATCCAGGCAGGTGGGGGAGGGCAGTGCTTCAACAGCAGGAGGGGAGCAACTCGGCCTGCGGCAGGCCTGCTCTTCCCACCTCCTGGAGCCCAGACCCTTGTCATGGCTCCTGCTGGGCTGCGGGGACAGGCTGGTGCCATGGTGATCGGTGCAGGCTTTGGTACCGCACGGCCTGGATTTGAGGTTGCTCCTGCACTTTCTTGCTGTGAGATTACATGTAAGCTCCTGCCGTCCTCCCTCAGGCCTCAGTTTCTCTAGCTGTGAAATGGGAAATCGCTAGTGACTGCTGCACAGTGCTGTGGGGAGGCTGAGCTGGGACTGTCCTGTGAGGCACTCTGTTAGAGGATTGGTTGAGCATCTACTGTGTGCCACACTCTGCAGGAGACTTGTATGGGTCTGCAAGCACGAACCCAATTCCTGTTTTATGGATGAAAAGACTGAGGTTCAGAGGACTGAGTCCCCCAGGTGACAATTGACCAGGTCTCAGACTGGTCAAGGACGGCTTCCTGGAGGAGGAGGGGGCTGAGTTTCGAGGATGGGCATCCTCTGGGCAGGAGGGCCTAGCCTGGGCAGGACATTTAAGCTCCTGGGATTTCGCAAGTCCTGGGCTCCCTGGAAGGCCCTGGGTCAGAGGGTGGCTCTGGGTACTCCCGAGTCTTTCCAGGAGTCCTGTTGAGGGAGGGCCCTGTCAGGCTGCGTTCTCAGGCCACAGGGCCTCCAGTGAGCGTCAAACAACAAAAAGGCTTTTCTCACTCTGAATGAGTCACCAGACTTGAGAACAGGCAGACAGGGTCCCTGCTGCAGGAGCCGAAACCACACATCTGAAGAAGTTTCCCACGGCCGTGGAGGGCTTTAAATAGCTGCAGCAGAAGTGGAGGAGGGAGGTGAGGGAGAAGGGGCAGGGCCCAGGCTCTCCCCACCAGCCCACAGGGGTCCCCACCTACCCCAGGGCCCTTGGGCAGGAGCCCCTTGGAAGCTGGTGTTGATGGAACGCAGCCTCGGGGGAGCCCGCAGGGACCCAGAGCCTGGGGCGGGCCTGGGGACAGCAGATGGCCAGACAGTCAGCTGGGGAGACAGTCAGTCAGAGAGCCGGAGTAGGGGAGCCGGCCGGGAAGGGGGAAGTTGACCTCATTGTGCACCCTAGTGCAGCCTCGGGCCCCAGCCCTGCTTCCTCGAGGGTCACCTGACCTCCCTCGGCACCCGGCTGCCCCCCTGCTGTGCTTGGTTCGTGACTGCGCCCTGGGTGGCGTTTCCGGAGGCAGGCTGAGCGCCGGGACTGCTGACGCACTTGCCGCCCCCCAGCAGAGCGGGGTGAGAAGAGAGCCCCCCATCTTCTTTTCTCGTAAATGAGCTCACCCCCTAGCTCACAGGGATTCTAAGAAATGGAAGCTGAGCACCTGCTGCTCGCCCACAGCAGGATGCAGGCTGGGAAGTCCTTCCCTATGGGTGCAGGCAGATGCCCAGGCAGCTCAGCTCGGGGGTCCACGGGGCCTGGGTGCAGGTTCAGCGACTAAGCTGGGGGTGTCTCGGGAGACACCCTGGAGAGCAATGGCTCCCCCCGCCCCCTGTCTGGGAGTCAGGTCACCTCCCGTGTGGTAGGGCGGCCTTTGGGGACCATCCACAGCTCACCAAGAGTCATCGATTAAGGCTTGGAGAGGGCGGGGACTTGAGCTGAGATTCTGTGTGAGCCCAATCTATTACCATCACCTGTACCATCATCAAACATGCATCCCACACCTACTGGATCCCTTGGGGCGAGGGCACGGGAGTAAGAGAGACAATGTCTGACAGAGAAGAAAAGGTCGACGGGAGCCAGGACACTAAGCCTGGGGTTCTCTGCTGCTGTCTCATCCAGGCCTCGAGGATTTGAGAAAATACAGTCTAGGGCCTCAGCCCCGGTGATGACAGTGGTCTCGAAAGGGGCCCGGGCATCTTATGAGGCTCTTCTGGGGAGCAGACTGCAAGAGCTGAGGCCCCGGTGACTTCTGGGGGCTGCCAGTGAGGCTCACGCCACAACCTCTCCTCCAGCTGAATCAGCAGGCAGCAGCAGGCCCCGAAGAGGCAGGGAGCCATCCCAACCCTGGCTCTGGGGCTTCAGACAAGCGGTGCCACCCCTGGGAACCCATTTCCCTGTCTGCATAGAGACGCCCCAACTCCAGTGGGTCAGCCTGAGGATTCTCATGACAGTGCATAGGAGCTGTCATGATCCCAACAGCATCACTGGCGTCCTTGCTAGACCATGAGCTCCAGGGGCAGGGACCAGGCTGTGGCTGTGTGCACATGCTGTGTGCACGGCTTCTGCAGCCCTTGGGCACATGCTACACGTGTGCACGTGCACGTGTGCGTGCAGGTGTGTGCACACGCATTGCACCTGTGTATCCCACGTCTGGGTCTGGGCTGTTGTAGAAATGCGTGCCTGTGTGGGGCCCTTGGGCCTGGCTTTCTGTGCACATCTGACGTTGTGTATTTGTGTGATGTTTCCATATGCTTGCACACACGCACTTAGGGGGATGCCTTTGCACACCCACAGCAGTTGGGCCTTAGCCAACATGAGCCTGGAGCCCTGGGCACTCACCTCATGGTATCTGGAGGCCGTGGGCAGTGACTCTTTCTTGCCATCTTAGGAGACCCTCCCACCTTCTGAAGAGAAAGACTGAAAAACAGGTCAGGCCTGGGAGCGCCCTGGAGAGCAGCCGTTGGGGGCATCGGGCCCTCCTTTCCAGCAGGTCCTCAGAGGCATCGGGCCCTCCTTTCCAGCAGGTCCTCAGAGGCATCGGGCCCTCCTTTCCAGCAGGTCCTCAGAGGCATCGGGCCCTCCTTTCCAGCAGGTCCTCAGAGGCATCGGGCCCTCCTTTCCAGCAGGTCCTCAGAGGCATCGGGCCCTCCTTTCCAGCAGGTCCTCAGGAAGGCAGCCTGCTCTTTCCAACCACGTGCTGGACCCCCACTGCCCCCTCCCTGCTCTCAGCTGCCCCCTTCCTTGGCGTGGTGCCCCCGTGCACCTGCACAGCCGCTTCTGTGTGTACCCCACCTGCCTCGCACCGGCTGTTTGCCTGAATCACTCTCTTCCAGCCTCAAGACAGAGGTTCTG